AAGAAAGAAAGAAAGAAAGAAAGAAAGAAAGAAAGAAAGAAAGAAAGGAAGAAAGAAAGAAAAAAAGAAAGAAACCTGAGGAGTAGATTTAGTTTGTAGGAGTTGATATTCCAAATAGAAGACACTAAGTTAGGTACAAACACAGGGTGATGACAAAGGGCCACAGCACACAGTTTGTAAAGAGGATCATAAGGTCACAGAGAAACTGTGCAACAGACAGAAAGCAGAAGTTTCAAAGTCCCATGAAACATTCTTGAAGCAGGAGGCACAAAAGGGTAAGAATCCCAGCAAAGGGAACTTGGAAGGGTGACTCCTGAATGAGAAAGAAGAGAAGCTCAGAAGTTCTTGACAAAAGGTAACTTAAAAAAAACCCAAAAACATATTATTTGTGTTTGTGTGTGTGTTTGTATTCAGGCTTGTATGTGGGGTGTTAATACAGGCCAAAGTTGGGCATCACGTCCCCAAGAATTGAAATTGTAAATGGTGTGAACTGCCTGATGTAGAGTCAAGGACTTAACTCCAGTTTTCTTCCAGAGCAGCAAACAATCGCAAATGCTGACCTTTCTTTCCATGCCCAAGAGGGGGCATTTTCAGACAATGAGAGGACACATCTCAGCAGAGTAGGTTCAAGAGTGTGTGTGAATGTTCTATCAGTAGGTTAGAGTGCAGCTGTGTTGAAAAGGGAAGGTTTTTTTGTTTGTTCGTTTGGTTGGTTTTTATATTTAATATAAAGGAAACAAATAAGGATACAATTGGAAACTGAGGGACATTATCATTTGATATGTAAAATCCCCTATAAGTTTATGATTTTGATCTCTTGATACTCAGGCAGAGGCCATATTTTGGAAGGTTGTATAAATTTAGGGGGGGAAACCACGATGGAGGAATTGGGTCACTGGTTAAAGTTCTTTGATGCTGTGCTATTCCTGACAATTCCCTGTCCAGTTCTCTGCCCCCAGGTCGGTTCATGAAGTGAGCTGCTCTCCTGTGCCACATAATATTCTACCCAAAAGCATGAGGCCGGCCGAGAGACCACGAGACTTGAGCCAAAGCGAATTGGTTTTTCTCTTCAGTTGTCCCTTTGGATGTTTTCTCACAACAGTGAGAAAGTAAGTAATACCCCCTGGGATTCAGAAAGGAGCATCCTGTTCTGAGATTAGACTTCTTCCCAGCACTTTTGGAAGCTGACAAGCTGACTCACTACCACAGTAACACTTGAAAATGCAGGCGAGGGGGAGAGGAATCTGAGGCATGGTGGGGATGTGGGCAGGATCTCCGCCTCTCAAAAAAAAAAAAAAAAAAAAAAAAAAAGGTGGAGAATATGGCTTGGTGGTTGGTTGAGACTTTAGAGGTTTTGATGATAAGGAAACAAGGACATTCTCTCCCGACTGCTTCTTCCATGAGGTAAAAAAGAAAGCCCCTGTGGGGAGTGGATGCATTCTCAGGGTGTCAATAAATGGTCAGAAGTTCAAACCCCAAAAAAGGTCAATTAGGGAACCAGTGTTTGTCCAAACACACCCACTGTTTAAACGAAAACTTTAAAAAAGGATGCAGCTAGGTCAGTAGCATGCTAGAAATGCCAGAGCAGAGTACCACACACTGTATGGCTCAAGCAAAGGAAGCATATTGTCTTGCAGTTTTGGAGGCTGCAAGTTCAAATCAGGCTTTCTGCATGGTTGGTTCTTCTGAGACCTCTCCATTTGCCCTTCTTCTCTGTCTTCATTAGCTGAAGAGGTCTACAGTCTGCAACCTAATTTCTAGTTTGTATAAAAACAGCCTGTGATGGATTTGAGCCCTCCCTCAATGATCTCATTTTAATTACTTCTATACAGGTAATTGGGCTACCTCCAAATACAGTTGCTTTTTGAGACACTGGGGTTAGTAGGGCTGAAACATAAGAATTGTGGGAGTCATCATGAAGTCCCAAAGTCCCTAACAGTGGGTAAACACTGAGCTGAAACTTGAGCAAGGACAGCATTTAACTAATGGACCATGGCTCCTAAGCCCTACAGAAACTGAAGTGAATGCAAAAAGATGAGAAACAGTGAAAAGACATAAGATATTACTGCCATGAGTCCGATGGCACTGCAGGATTATTAGAGCAGGAGACATTGTGCTTTCACAACTTCATATATCAAACTCAACGTTGAGTTTCTCTTCTGACTTGCATTCTTCCAGATCCTTCTTTATTGAAGTAACAAGCATCAAATTCTTTGACACACACTTGCTCAAGCTGGGAACTTCTAAGGGATCCCTCTTCCTCATCCCACATATCCCAGGGAGATTGGTTTCTTCTGCCTGCAAATGATCCATTGGATATTATGTTCTTCATCTCACATCTGACTGTGACCAGTCTCTTTCTCGCCTCAGAGTAGCTTTCAGCTCCTTTCCCAAATCCAGTCTGTCCAGTCTCCATTCATTCTCTGCACAGCAGACGGGGAAGTGGTCCAGATGCCATTTTTTTAAAGATGCAATTTCCCCAACATACCTTTGTCTTTCTCGCTACCCAGCTTGCTCTAGACACTTCCCACAGCATGTGGGCTTCTCTCTGCTTCTCCTCCTTCCACAATCACCTCGGCCTCCAACCTCCATGCTCCTTCAGTGCTTTGGTCTTCTCTGTCCTCAGCCAGTCCAAGCATTCTTCTGCCTTTGACCTTCGCAGGTCCTAAACGCTGCTGAGCCTTCAGGTCAAGGCCTCAGGACACCCTTTCCAGGAAGCCTTCCCAAATAGAAGCAGGCATATTAGATGCTTTGGGGGTGGCTGTGACAAACTAGCTGACAAGAGCAACTTTTGAAAAGCAGGGGTTGATGTGTACTTATGGCTTGGAAGTTTTTCCACCATGACAGAGAGGATATGGGGGTAGCATGAGGCAGTTAGTTTCTCTGTAACCTCAATCAGGAAGCGTAGAACAATGAGAGCTAGCGCTTGGTTCGCATTCTTTTCATTTAGATTAGGTGAAAAGGTGCTATTCATATTTGGTGGGTCTTGCTACCTCAATTAATCCAGTCAGGAAATTCCCCACAAAAAAATGTCCAATGCCATTTCTCCTAGGTGATTCTAGAGTCTATATTCACCATCTCCAGGTTGGCACGCTCCTGGCTGAACAGCACAAACGCCAGCAGATCTGAGATAAGAGAGATCTCAGAGGCTTGAAAAGACATGAACTGCCCAGCCACCAAATACAGCTTTGGAGAGTTCCTTCTAGGCCTCCTTCTCACGGGGCCAAGTATTTGCTAAAGGTGTGGTTGGAAACAATTGGTGATATTCCCCCCTCTTTGTATCCTGTAGTTCAACTTGAAGTCTTAAGAGTTTGTTAAACAAATGAACGCATGACTTCCCCAGTTTACACCCAATACCCAGTTTTTCTGAGAAGGGGAGAGAGATTCCCACATGCTGCGTCTATGCTATTGAAGTGAAAATCAACACAAAATGCTGCTCTTTCTTGGCTTCAAGATTGCTTCCCTTATCTTTGACCCTGTCCTGCTCTCCCACTTTCAATCACCCCTTTGCCATGTGTTTTCTTTCATGTTACCTCTAAGGGCAAAGCTCAAAAAGTTACTATGTAACAAGCCTTTACCTCCTTCTCCCTTGTAAAATAAAACCATATCTGCCCCCACCCCCCGCAACCATCATTTAAAAAGAGTATTGTTAATTTTTTCAAAGACATTTATTTTTTATTTATATGAATATGTGTGGGCCTACATGTGTTTATGTGCACCGAGTGTGTTCAGGGGTCTGTGGGGGTCAGAAGAGGGCATCAGATTCCCTGCAGTTAGAGTTAGAAGAGTTTGTGAGCCATCCAAGGTAGGATCTAGTATGCAAATTCAGATTCCCTCAAACACTATTCTCTCTAGACCAATGTGTTTGCTTTTGACAATAAACATGATAAATACACATGGAGCAAAGTGGTAGATGTAAGAAAAAAATATTTTTTCCCCTTCCCTGGTCTCCTTTTATGTTAATAAGCAAATAAGACATATACATATTTACACATTCATAAACATGTACACATGCATGCCCACATTTATAGACAAATCTTTATTATATCACAGAAACACAGAATGTCATGTCCTATTGCTTGCCTGGATTTTTTTCCCATAATGCTTGCATTGACAGCATTCAAAAAGCTGACTGCTGAACCAAAAACTTTTAAATGGCCTCCGGTATTCCAGTACAAAAACCACTATGGTTTGCTTAACTAGACCCATATTCATGGCCACTGAAGTGGTCTACGCCTCTGTTATGACATTAAAAGCTACAGTATACATCTTGGTGCTCACGTATCTTATGTTCAAGTGCATGCATTCTCCAAAAAGTAGACTTCCTGGGTCAAAGGGCACACAGAATACATATAGTTTGGCAAGATACTGCAGGCCAAAAAGGTTGTACCAAGTGGCACGTTCACTGTGTCTAGAATGTGGGTTTCCTGGCATTCGCATGAGTAAAACAGCTGTTTTCACTTTCTTCATTTTTTTGTTATTAATCATCAGTGACCTGGGGAAACTTTGGCTTTTAGTTCCTCTTTCTGCTAAATATAACAAAGACAGGATGAAATGAATTCAAAATGGAGCCTGTAACCCTTGATCTCTGGGAAGTCACTTGATTTTTGAGCTCTCTCCTTTTGTACTTTATCTTTCTAAAAGATGCCCAGCACTGTCTCTGACATGAACTCAGTGGCTGGCTCTTTGATCACCTTCCCCTGAGGGGGGAGTAGTCTTACCAGGCCACAGAGGAAGACAATGCAGCCTGATTGTCTCCTGATGAGACCTGATAGGCTAGGGTCAAATGGAAAGGGAGGAGGACCTCTCCTATCAGTGGATTATGGGAGAGGGGCATGGGAGAAGAAGAGGAAGGGAGCATGAGGGGATGAGAGAGGGGCTACAGTTGGGATACAGTGTGAATAAACTGTAATTAATAACAATATAAAAAATAAATTAATTTAAAAAAAAGAGCCCAGCAATGGAGCCTGACATGCTTTGAAAACTACATCTGTACCCAAACTGAACATTTCTTCCAGCCATAATATACTGCTATGATATGACTGGGGCCTGGTTCCCTACATTTTTTCATCTGAAAAAAAAAAAGAACCACTTATGATAGTGAAACAATACGGCTGCCTAAGACCTGAACTGCCACAGCACCAATAGACATGATATTATGGGAAGAGGAAATCTCCTGGGACTCTACCCCTAAACAAAAAACTACAGGCAACTAATGACTGCTGAGAGAGGGAGATCTAATTTTCCCCAGGGAGGAACTCCTACCTGGCTATACAATACAAATGTAAATAAAAATATTTATTGAATATATAAATATAAAAATATTCCAGGTCAGCCTGGAATCATATTCATACAAGAAACAATAAACTGACTCAGCAGGTTTTATTTATATATTTGTGTGTGTGCATATAAAACAAAACAACAATAAGTATAATAATAGTAATAATGATAAAGAGACCATGAATTTGGGATGGAGTGAGGTGGTGGTTAGAGGGGTTGGAAGGAGGGAGGGGGATGATGTAATTATATTGTTTTCAATAATACATTTTATTTAACTTCATAAATCATAAAATATTTTAAAATGTTTTCTACAATTTATTCATTTTATATCCTTATTGTAGCCCCTCCTTCATTTCCTTCTGGTCCCACCCTCCCTCCCTCTTCTCCTAATCCCCTTCCCCTAGTCCACTGAAAGGGAAGTCCTCCTCCCCTTACTGACAGTATCAGGTCATGACCTGGGATTCTATTTCTAGCTGATTCAAAGAGCTGCATGTTTCTCCTCCCACATCCTGAAACTAAGCAAAACTCAATCTCCTAGTCCCCATTTTTCTTCTAGATTTTCTGTAAATAGGACCTTACACAATGCCTTGAAGTATTTCTAATTCACTGGAGCCTCCTGCCTTCCTTGCAGGCTGCCTGTCTATTTGGTATGAGTAGAGCTCAGAGTTTACAAAAGCAGCCACTTCCAGGACAAGCACTAATCTTAGCCTGTGTAATTATGGTGACATTTCAGCTCCCCCTTCTCTCCACATCCTCTCCCTAGGTCCTTGCTCTAGTGAACTTTCAGATGACCCTTTAAAAGCACTACGTTTGACAAGTCTTGATGGGTTTTGTTAAGTCTTCTCTTATGGGTGGCAAGTCCTTGTGATAGTTCAGGCCCACCCTATATCCTCTGAATTCTTTAAAAGATGAACTTATTCTTATTCTATATATTGAGGTGTTTTGCCTGAATGTATGTGTTTGCAGTGCCCAGGAAGGCCAGAATACAGTGTCATATGACATGGACCTACAGAGAGCTGTGAGCTACCAGGTGGGTGCTGGGAATTGAACTCATGTCTTCAACAAGAGTGACTATATTTAACCACCGAGCCTTCTCTCCATCTCTCCGAGCCAACCCGCATCACTGAATTTCTGCCAGTTTCCCCACCTCCACTAGACTGTGGATGGATACCAAAGTAGTCTTTGATTCAGTTATGTCCCAGGGACTAGAAAGTCACAGGAAGCTAGAAGTTACTGCAAAACTGTTAACAAATATACTTCATTGCAATTATTTTGTCTTTTATTTCCTTATTCATCCACCTATTCATAAAATACTTATTGTCTATTTTTTATGAGCTGTTTTAAGTACCAGGTATCCAAAAACTAAAAACATTCAGTCCTATAGTCTAATGGAGGCAGGCATGTAATAAACACACTCTATCAGTAATCCAAAACACCGGCTAAGCAGTGACAAGGGCCAGAAGACCAACTGAACAGGGGATGAGATATGGACCTGGAAGATTGCTATGGGCCTAGAGGATTGAGGAGGATCTCATGGGAAAGGCTATGATCTGAAGAAGGTGAGGTAGCCACATAACACAGACATACATACATAAGAGCAGGTGAAAGCTCTTAAGACAAAAGTAAGCCACGTGTGCTTACTTCACAGAGCAGCAAAGAGCAACTAGAAGAGCCTGGTGGAAAGAGTGGGAGCTAAGAATAAGGATGCCATTGCCTGTGTGTTGGCAGTTGGTGGCAAGCAGACATATATGCAGAGAAGGACACCTATGCATAGACTTTGATTTTATTAGAATCCTCACTGAAAAGCAACAGAAACGGGGCCTAAAGCAGAAACATTTAAAAATCTGTGGTGTCTGGATCCAGACAAGAGACGATGGTGTCTTGACCTGGGTTAGCTTGGCAGATCCGATTAATTCTTCATGCGGCTACCAGGACTGGATGCTGGAATAGACAATAGTGTCAAAGGCAACTGTGATTTGGGCCTGAGCAGCACGGAGGATGGTGATGATATGAGCAGCTGGGATGAAAAAGATGTCGCTTGCTGAACTTAGAAAGACTGAGGAAGGAAAACTCATTTGGTGCCCAAGTTGGCAAAGCCCATTGCTTTCCACAAGTAAAAATGTTGAGAACACAGAGACTCTTCAAGGCTTTACAAATATTAACTCGTTCAGTTCCATAATAAATTCAAAATAAATTCATAATAAAATAATAAATTCATAATAAAATAATAAATTCAAAATAAAATTCATAATAAAATTCAAAACTCAGCCTGTGACCCAGCTGAGAGAAAGACTATTCTGATAGAAAGACTGACTTACTAGTAGCTGGTAGAGCAGGGGCCTGGGATTTAAACCTAGAGAACGGACACAGGGCGCTTGCATCTCTTCACTCTGCCACCTGTGGCTAAGCACACACCTGGCGCTTCATTCTAGCAATCAATATCCCAGCATGACCGTTGAGCTCACTCCTGAGACTAACACTCCGTCAATGACAAGAGTGTACTTTAAATCTGAGCAACTCCTATAGCCTTACCTTGCAAGTGGAGCCCCAAGTGGACTGTGGATTGCGCGAGAGAACATTCCCTGGTGGAAAATCAGTTCACGGACACTACAAAAGAGTGAACTGACACTGAATATCAAAAAGAGCAGACTCGCTGCTTTAGTCAAATTTAGCCCCCTCATCCCACGTGTGCTGTTTACACATGAGCTATTCTGTATGCGCATTGCCAACCCACCCAGAATGCCCATGGGTGCCAATTTTTATTTCCTCAACAGATTCTCTTATAAGTTGTTTACTTCATTTCTGGAGACGCTTATGCTTTCCGTTCTTACATTCAACACCAAAAGGCTGAAGGTCAGATATTTTAGCTGGAGAATTCTGGGATAGCTGAGGGCCACTGAATGATGCTCTCTCAGCCCGGTATCATTTGAAAAAATTAAATACAAAACAAAACAAAGAAAGAAACAAAGAAAAAACAAGAGAAAGTCCCAGGTGGAACCTATATGAAGACTTTGACCCTAAATATCATTCACTGTTTTTTTAAAGCTTTTTTCCGTTTCAACTGTGAACTTTTTTTATGATGTTCACGGCAAAACAGAGCAGAAAAACGATTCTTACATGTTCCCTTCCACTCATGGACCCCCACTCAAGCGCCCGAACCCATGCACCCACACACACCCCTGTACACTCCACTCACGAACCCACCCTGCTAGGTTGATTAATATTCATTATCAATTTAACTGAAATTAGAATCACCTAAGAGACATCGCTCTGAGCGTATCTGTAAAAGAGTTTCCAGAATGATTTGACGGAGGAGGAAAGACACACCCTGAGTGTGGG